GCTGAAGGATCACCGGAGCCCAGCAGGTCGAGGCTGCGGTGGCCGGGAGCGGCCACTGCACTCCAGTTTGGGGGACAGAGTGAGACTCCAACTAAAAAAAAAAAAAAAACAAAAAAAAACTCTGCAGAATCACCTCGGTTCCCATTTTACAGACGGAGAAACTAAGCCCCAGAGAGGGAACTGGATGATATGGTCACTAGTCAGAAGTGGTGGAACTGAGAGTTCACCCTGGGCAGTCTGGGCCCCAAACCTCTGTGCTCAATGCCCAGAAGAGGATGCAGCCCCTGCGAGCAGTTAAGGGGAGGGCCCAGGCTGGGGCAAATACAGAAAAAGATTAGCGTTCCATGTGGCTGAGTAGGCGGTACATAGCTGTTTGTTAGATGATTTATTCTCTGTGCTTTCCTAAAAGTTAGAAGTCAATGATAAGTAAACTTAAGTATGAGACGGGGCACCTGCATACAAATGGCCTAGATCAAGATTCAAGGTGCAAATTTGCAGATTCCCAAATTGGTCCCCGCCCAGGCCACAGAATCCAAGTCTCAAAAGAGTCTGAGCACCGTCGGGAGCAGCACTTCTCAGTTTGTGGTTCTTGGACCTGCAGCAGCAGCATCGCCACCTGGGAACTGAGGGAAATGCAGCTTCTCGCCTGCTCCAGTCCACTGGATCAGAACCTCTGGGAGGAGGGCCCAGCGACAAGAGTTGAACACATCCTCCAGGTGGCTCTGCTGCATCTAAAACTTCAGATGTACAGGCTATTCTCTAGACCAATTGAACTGGAAATCCTGGGGCTGGAACCCAGCCATCAAGACTTGTTTTTTTGTTTTTTGTTTGTTGAGTCAGAATCTCACTCTGTCTCCCAGACTGGAGTGCAATGGCACCATCACGGCTCACCATAACCTCGACTTCCTGGGCTCAAGCGATCCTCCCCCTTAGTCGCCTGAATAGCTGGGACCACAGGCGCAGGCCACCATGGTCTGCTAATTTTTATGTTTTCTGTAGAGATGAAGTTTCACTATATTACCCAGGCTGGTCTCGAACTCCTGGACTCAAGGGATTCTCCTGCCCCTGCCTCCCAAAGTGCTGGGATTATAGGCATGAGCCACTATGCCTGGCCGGCATCAAGATTTTAAAAGCCTGTTTAGGTGTAAGTTCAAAAGGCCACTGAAACCCACTTGAGTATGGTATGGTATGAAGGCCTCTCTTGCAACGACAACCCCAGGCCCTCAAGGCCAAACACATTCATTCACTCGTTTGTTCATTCCATAAATATTTGTTTATACTTGTATGGCTAGATCCTATGCTGGGCAATGAGGACTCATTGGAGACCTAAACCCCATCCTTGCCTGCAGGGCTTTTGACAAGTGACGAAAACAAGTAAGTCTCAAGCTTGACTGCACCTATGAATTCTGCTTCAGTAGGTCATGGCTGGGGCCTGAGACTCTGCATTTCTTTTTTTTTTTTTGAGTTGGAGTCTCACTCTGTCACTCAGACTGGAGTGCAGTGGCCGGGAGCGGCCACTGCAGCCTCGACCTGCT